CCCAAAGTGCTGGGATTACAGGCGTGAGCCACCGCACCTGGCCAGAGTGATCTTTTTAAAATCTGAGAAATTCTGAATTCTGAACTATATCTGTCCCCAAGGGTTTTCATAAGGGTATATGAACCTGTCGTATCACCATAAATAGAAAATCAGTACCCCTTGCTAGAAGAAGAGAAGGATAAATATAATTAAAACACATATAATAATTTTAAGAAAATAATGCTTTTTGTTTTTTTGTTTTGTTTTCTGAGATGGAGTTTCGCTCTTGTTACCCAGGCTGGAGTGCAATGGCACGATCTCGGCTCACCGCAACCTCCGCCTCCTGGGTTCAAGCAATTCTCCTGCCTCAGCCTCCCAAGTAGCTGGGACTACAGGTGCATGCCACCATGCCCAGCTAATTTTTGTATTTTTAGTAGAGACAGGGTTTCACCATGTTGACCAGGATGTTCTCAATCTCTTGACCTCATGATCCACCTGCCTCAGCCTCCCAAAGTGCTGGGATTATAGGCGTGAGCCACCGCGCCTGGCCGAAAATGTTTTTTTAAAAAAAAAAAACACCTAAAATTATACAGATCTCCTCTGACCCCAACAGCAGAGTCTGGTCACAAGCCCCTGAATTCCAAGGCCCATGACCTGTTTCCCTGTGTGATTTGAAATGGGGTCAAGCTCCCCCATTTCTCCTTGAAGAACTGAGCACCTACTTTGAATATCTCATCAGGAAGGCATTTTATTGCTGATGGCTGGAAATATGGCATCAAATCCTTGTCAAGCATCCGGAGCTCTGTCTTAGTTAATCCAGCTGGGGAGAAAAAGGAAGCATGGGGGTTTAGTTCAAGCCATCAGAACTCCGCTTGTTTTATTAATGGGGCTGTATAATGCACAGATCTGAGTGTTCTAGCAAGCATCATTCCTTATAAAAGGGCCTGGAAATCACACTGGGGAATCAAGTTCCTTCATCAATTCAGAAAAAAAAATGTGGGTCACATTAGCCCTGATTGGCCTCCTACAGTGAAACGCATGCCCAGAAGAAGCTTCAATTTACACACTTCCAAATTGTGTATAAACCTACTTAGGGGCCAATTAAATCACATTCTAAACCAGTGGTTTTCCAAACGTTATTGTAACAAGAATCTCCAAGAGAGCTTGTTTTAAAAGCAGATTTGCAGATCCATCCTCTGCAACTTCAAATCATGAAATGTAGTTTCTACTGTAACGCCACAGATATTTGCTACATGTGGCCAAGGATCATGTTTTATTTTGTGTCCTCACATTTAAGTTTGGTAACGGAGAGAAAGGCATGTTCAGGGTGAGTCTTACCTGCAATGGTCCCAAGCTCCTGCAAGACAGAGCTGGTCCACTCAGTGGGATCCCCAAACACAACTTCTGC